AAAAAAAAAACAACAACCTGATAGAATATACCCCTCCCTTACGCTATCCAAAACTTTAAAAAAAATATTTTGGCTTAACTTATACTTTAACCAGTTGACATCCGCGTTGTTAAACCCCCTTCCCATCCAGGCCATTTTTCAGTATTCAGCGCTGCGGTACTTTAACTGACATTTATTCCGTCATGCAGCGCTGTACTGAAATGAATTTTATACCCTTTTTTGGGGACAGATAGAGCTTTCTTTTGGTGGTATTTATTCACCACTGGGGGTTTTATTTTTTTACTATATTAAAGCAGAAAAAAATTGCCGTCTGGAGACGGCAACCCGCAGATGCTGCAGTGCCGTCCGTCCGTTTTTTTACTACGGGCGGACGGCAAGAGGTTAAGCTTTGCCGAAAAATCCCTTCGAACACATCTTTTGGGGTTTTGGGCTGAGTGATTTGTTTGCACTGGCAATGAAACCATGGGTAGTTATGATTGAAGTTCTCACGTAATGGGCTCCACATTTGGCTCATATATGGAGGGCCTGGGCTTATACAGTAATACCTTGGTTTACAAGTAACTTGGTTTGAGAGCGTTTTGCAAGACAAGCAAACATTTATGAAAAATTTTGCCTTGATATACAAGCAATGTCTTGCAATAAGAGCAAAATTTTGTAGAAAAGCACCACCCGAATAAGGCTGTAGCAGTGCGAGCGATGAGTCTGTTTAACGACAATGCAATGTCACATTGGATAGATTCCTTGTTAAGGTTTCACGAAATGAAAAAGATTCCATTGAGTCAAGAGATAACAGTGATTCCGTTAGTGATAGTGAAAGTTGTCCTACACAATAATCCTCCTCTCTTGTCCCTCTCACACCGGCCACAAAGGTACCTGTAATTGGTTTATTTTTCTTTATATTTTGTACAGTATTATATTACAGTACAGTATTGTAATCATTTTATATGAAAATTTTTGGGTTGTGGAACGAATCATCTGATTTTCCATTATTTCCTATGGGGAAATTCGCTTTGATATACAAGCGCTTTGGATTACAAGCATGCTGCCGGAACGAATTATGCTCGTAAACCAAGGTATTACTGTATGTTGATGATTTTTTCTATATTTTGAAAGTTCTGCATTAGTTCTGATGCCGGGACCCATATTAGTCACTACTTTGGACCATATTGAGGCCTCTATACGAGCTAGTAAAAATTTGTATTCTGCTGTCTGGATTCTCTGACTCTGCAACCATCTTCCCTAAGAAGAGAACTGTGGGGGAAAACACTTACCCCATAGTTCCTCAAAGGGTCAAGGGGAGACATATACTAGCTACAGCTCGTGGTATACTGAGACGTCGAGGGCGGGACGTATACCAACATTACTGTCAAGATCCATCCAGCTGCGTGAGTGACAGCTGGCTCTGCCTATCTAGAGGCTGTACCCGCCCCCGTCTGTCCGTTCCACCAGTCAGCGCTGGAGGATCGGGGGAGGGGGGAGATGATCGAGAAGTGAGCGGGAGACGGTATGTGTTCGCTCACTTCCCGATCTATTGATCCGACCTGTGACAGTTTCACTGTCACACTTCTTCTCGAACTATGAGGATGAGTGATTTTCACTCACCTCATAGTTCTTTAAACAATTGTTACCAGAACAGGTGGCCCCATTTGAAGTTTTTCCCCTCAATTTATGCTCATTTGACAATCCTAAACTTTTTGGATTTCCTATCACTTTGTGCCTTGTTGACAATGGTCACCAGGACAAAACTAGTGGAGGAATCTCCCCATCAGGGAGAAAACATGATGGGTGTGACGACATGGTGATCAGTTTATGAGTTAAATGTGTATTGGTGTTGGGTTATGTTTGAGTGCGTTATGCTGTGTGACCTGGTTATGGAAAGACTATCAGCACCATCCCTCGTTATCTCCCATTGTTCTCTGAGGGAGCTCAGAACAATGACATTCTGGCCAGGCTCCTGCCATGGCTGTCTGGAGCTATTTAGCAGGTGGACACCTGTGGTGTTGTGAAGACAGGATTTCTGGGGAGGGGAGGGGGGATGTGATGGGATTATATTCTGATCTGATCACTTTCTGTATAAAAGTTTGTGCAGTTTCTCAATAAACCAGAGTTTGTTTACCCTACACTCAAGCCTTGGCTAGTGACTGGGGAAACTGGGCTACAGATCAGCGGGTTCCAATATCTCCTCAGCAAGGAAGAAGACAGCGGCGGACATACTCATCCTGAGTACGGGGGTCCGTCACAATGGGTTCATACCCTAACTCGCATACTAAAGGGAAAAGAAAAAAGTTTGGCTTTGAGATTGTTGGTATAGTTATAACGTCAATCCTTTCTTCGTGACCTAAATATCAAATCTCTTCTCAAAAAGGCCAGATCTAAATTTACAGCTTTGAAACAACTTCCAAATGCCATGGGGTACATGAAGCTTATCAAATACTTCTTCTACCTAAATTATGACATGCCCCCGGAGAACCCAATGATAGAGATCACCAGTAAACTCTTTACTGAATTACATGTACTGGTATCTTCATTCGTGGGAGGTAACATAAGGGCTAAAATTAGGCTTTATACATTTCAAAGACACGATTAGGACTTTTTAAAGAAGTTTAAAGTCTAACTCCTGCCATTTGTTTTGGATATGTGGATTGACATGGTTTTATCTCTCTGTAATTGGAGAGATAGTTCTTCAATTTCAGTCCCTGTGGCACCCATGCAAAAAATAAAGGAATAGTGGTAGATAACCCCCATTTTATTATCACGAACCTTTTGATAAAAACATTGTTAAAGGGATAGTCCACCCAAAACTAAGTTTTTGGGAGATTGTATCGATGCGACAAGTTCCCGGGGCTGTACTTCTGTTGTGCCATTATGAGGGGCTCCCACCATCCCTGCTGGGTTTGCTAAATTTTATATTATGTACAATGTAACAGGAGGAGCTAGAACACACAAAGGTGGGCTGGAACACCCAAAACTCCCAGGTGGACTGGAGCAGAGTCAGGAATTGTGGCAGGAAGATCTCACTGTTGGAACATCCAAGACATATATGAATCCAGAGGCTGACTCAGCCACTAGACTCCTTCACTACATAAGATAAAGAAATGTGTCAGAGGCACACACAAGTCCAAATGTTGTATAACTAGGTTATGTTTACTCAGGACCTCTTCATGTACACAGCTGTTGGAACTGTGTGTGGTTTGATGATGGACCTTTCAAGCTTACCGCCCTAGTAAATGCACACTCAGGTCATGCTCTATATAGCCAATGTTTGTGGACCCTGGACCAACACACCTTCTAATGATCAGATTAAGGTGTTTCCAGTGAAGGGTCCTGTTTGTACAAAATACTTTTTTAGGCAATTGTGAACTTGCAGTTTGGGAACAGTTTGGCGAAGGTCCTTTTCTATTCCAGCATGGCTGTGTCCCTGTGTACAAAACCAGCTCCATAAAGACACGGTTTGGTGTGCAGGAACTTAGTGACATTAAACCCTCAGATTTTTTAACCTAAAACAATACTGTAATGTGCGCCTTATTGTAATCCATGGTTGTTTGCCTTCTCTTTGCTGCTCTTCCTTTTAAATCCTCATGCCTTCTCATGCTTGGGGAGAACTTCCCTTTTCAGCTCAGGGCCTCTTCCTGTAGTGCTGGCTCAGGTTACAAACTTATACACAGACACCGTGTATCCATTCCTGAGACAAGGCAGTCTGCTGCAAAACAGAAGTTCTGCCCAGCATGCGAACAGATACAGATTTAAAAGGAAGAGCAGCAAAGAGAAGGGAAACAACCATGGATTACAGTAAGGCACACATTACAGTATTGTTTTATGTTAAAAAAACGGAGGGTTTAATGTCACTTTAAGTGGCCAACACAAAGCTCTGACCTCAACCCTACTGAACACCTTTGGGGTGAATTGGAACACAGGTTACAAGCAGGGCCTGATTTACCCTCTCTGCTGCCTCAAGGCCAGGTTCCTCAATGCGCCCCACTTTCCCTGCCAAACCCCTCCCAATGGAAAATGGCAACCAGAATGTGGGGGTGGCAGGGTTCATGTTATTTTTTGTTTCTTTTTTTTTTAATCACTTTTTTTGTTTTTCTTTTTTTAATAATTTTTTTCTTTTTTACTTTTTAATCACCTTTTATTTTAGTTATTCTTATTTTTTTTTTTACTTAACTTTATTGCTATCGTACAGGAACTAACAAGCCCATTTGGTAGCATTTGGAGGTGACAGGTTCTCTGTATTGAACCTGTCACTTCCAATACAGGAGTTCTAGCACAGGGGAAGGCTGAGAGTGCAACTCTCCCCTCTCACTGTTTACATGGAGCAGAGCGGTAAACGGACGTTCTCCGCTCCCCGCTCTCCATCCTGAGGATCTCCGGCCAGCGGAGAGAGGTACACGGCTGGAGGGAGAGGGCAGAGCCTGAAGTGGGAGGATGTACTTGCTCTACATTTAGCCCTGCTTGCCCAAAGCAGGGCTAAATGGAGAAAACAACTACCCCACTCTGCGCCCGGAACTGCATGTCCCGGGCGTCGGGAGATTCTAGACCCCCGACGCCCAGAGATCGGGCCGTGTGGGAGATCTAACCCTGATTACGAGCAAGGTCTTCTCATCCAACATCCGTACCGGACGTCACAAATGTTTGGCTGAATGGGTACAAATTCCCATGGACATTTCTCAAAATTTGTGGAAAGCCTTCCCAGAAGAGTGGAGGGTGTTATAGCTGCATAGAGGGGCCAAACCCATTTTAAGGTCCATTGTTTTTGAATGGGATGTCCAACAAGCACATATAGCTGTGATGATCAGTTATCCATTTGGCCATATATTGTACATAAAAGTTGTGTGTTTTTTCTCTAGGAGTGAGGCAGATGCAGCCCCCAGTGCTGGATGGGGGTCTCATCTTTGACAACGCCCTCCTGACAGATCCTCTTAAAACATTCTTTTTATTTTTTTCAGCCACCTGTATTACAGTGTTCTGTTTTCTGTATCTTACGTGCCCTGACAAGAAACATAATCATGAGCGTTGGATTTATCGGAGCAGGCCAGCTCACTTACGCCCTTGTGAGGGGCTTTACTGCAGCAGGTAATGTGTTTCCGGGTGGATCTGTAGAGTTGTAATAAAGTGTTGTGATAAGTTACCTGCAGTAGCCAGCTTGCAATTGGCTAATGTTGTTTAGACTTGGCATACGTCTGTAGGATCTAATACTAATCTCACCTTAATTTTTGCAGGGGTGTTGGCAGCACACAAAATCACTGCAAGCTCCCCCGAAACGGATCTGCCCACTGTAGCTGGACTAAGGGTGAGATATTTAAAAAAAGAGAAAAAATGATGAAGATATTCTTTACATAACGAATATGAATTGTTGTGGTAAAGAGAACCTGTCACTATCAAAGTAATCTTTGAGCTGCACAGCACCTAGTGTCTGTCTACTTGGAGTAGCAGTAGATTCTTGGCTTGTTTTATGCTGAGCTCTTCGATAAGTGCTGACCCCATGCTGATTCTAGAGATATGAAGCTGAATGCATTAAAGTTTATTGACGGAGGGGTCACTATCCTAGAACCAAAAGGAAAGACATCACCATCACTCCAACAACGTTAATAACAGCAATTAGATGCTCATTTATTGACAGATGCTGTCTCTCATTGGCAAGCGCTTTCGGGGCCACACAGGGTCCCCTTTGTCAGGCTCAGAGATGTTGGTTAATTTAAAGGAGAATGTACACTTAGAAAATTATTTCTGTGGCTTTGTAGAGATTTTAAAGGAGAACAATGAGGTGAGTGCTTTTCACTCACCTCATAGTTCTAGCCGACCTGTGACAATGAGACTGTCACAGGTCGGCTCAGTAGATCGGGAGGTGAGTGAACACATACCGGCGTTCGCTCACTTCTCAATCCTGTCACGCCTCTCTGCCGTGACAGGGGAGAGACTGGATTCCCCGCTGACTGGCGGAACAGACGGGGGAGGGGGCGGATACAGCTAGCTCTGCCTTTAGATAGGCAGAGCCAGCTGTCACTCACGCAGCTGGGCGGATCCAGACATAATTGTCGGGATCCGCTTCAGCTGCGGCGTCTCAGTATACCGCAAGCTGTAGCTTGCAGTATACTGCGCTTAGGGTGACGGGAGGATGCTAGTTTGTGTCCTCCCGTTACCCTAAGGAGAACTATGGGGAAAAGCCCTAACCCCATAGTTCTCCTTTTAATGATCGCTGTCTTGCAATGTTTTTGACCATTAGTAGTGGTCTGATGAACTGAGATTACTGCAAGGCACCGCACATATCAGGAACGCAGCTTTTGTGCAGTTTTGTTATCCCCTTGCCACACTTTTACCATATCTTTAATGACTAGCTGATAAACCCATTAAACTCCAGACAAAGTAATTTCTAGATAAATCCATTTTTATTGGTGCAGTAAACAAAATAGCAATTTACAATAAGGTCAGGCTGAGGTAACGTGTAATAATGTCTGCACAAAGTACAAAACACCAGGGTTATTTAGGGATACTTACAGGGTTATTCACTTCTCCTGCCTCCTCCAAACTCTTCACCCTTTTGTGAACAATCTAGGACAACACAGCTGATTTGGAAAAAATCTCCAATTACGCTCACTTTCCAGTTCAGCTTTTTTTTAATGTTCACTTCTCCTGCCTTCTCCAAACTCTTCACCCTTTTGAGAATAACCCTGTTAGTTATATAACTCTCAATCACAATTACTTCATAGTACAACAAAAATGTCTCTGTGCCCACACCTGTCCATTTGTCATGATGTAATTGCGTCCATTTGTCATGATGTAATTGTGCCCGTGCAGTCTTCTGGATGTTGAGCATATCCCACAGCTGGGCAGCCGGTATAAAGTGGAAGGCATGCCTGACTGGAGCACAGCTTTAAAGTAAATATGAGGAAGCGTGGAGAATGCCTTTGCTGGCCTCTGCTTGTGAACATACTAGTTCCCTGACTGCATTCTGTTCCAATGGATTTAAACGTTTTGAATTTAGATATACTTAGTAATATATATTGTATCCTCAAATGTACCATGCTTCACTGGTGCCAAGGCAGCTCCAAATATCCTCGCAAGCTCTGTGTGTATCTGAAGGCCATATATACATGCAACAATAAAAGTAGAAAGAGAGCTCACTAGGTATTGCAGGTAAAACTAAAGAATATAAAAGATAAAATTGTACTTCCAATGATCGGGACCTATCACCAAAAACCCCAGGTCACGCCAACATGCTGAAACTCTCTCATATGGTAGCAGGCAATAGAGAGGGTGCAGGCCAAGATGGATTCTCGGAGGTGGAACACTGGAAAGACCAAAGGGAAGGAAAATACATCCCAATCTGGTGCACAAAGGAGGACCAAGATTTGTATTTTAGTTAGTTATTTCCCCTCACCCTCTGTACTGGTGGCAACTGCAAATCTTGGATTTCCCTTTACGTTCTGCACCAGTGACAGGTCATCAGGACTAATAGAGAGGATGAATCTACCAAGCAGGAGGTGTTATCTTAGGGATAGGCATGAGGTTAAGTGTTTAAATGACATGTCAGTTTGAGAGGCCTCTGAGATCATTCAGAATTCACTGACCGGTGCATTTGACCTGCGGTTGACATCCTTGCAATGCAGGTCCTTGTGCATTCCTACTTGTATTGGGAGTAATGCAGTTGTAAGGGGAATACAATCCGACCTAAGAGACAGGAATAGGTGATATTTGATGGGCAATGGTGATACCCTGATAGCCCTGGTCTCAGATTGCCTGCCCCAGGTTGCTGGTGCCAGAAAAGTACCAAGGTTCTCTGGTGCCTTTTAAAACTGCTGGTCCAGCTTGTGGTGGGTGTTAACTGTTACACACTCCCAATGGATGGTAATGCAGTTGTACCATAATATGATCTGTTTATACCATTGCAATAGATGAGTGCCAACTGCAAAGTTATTAACTGACCTTGGATAACAGTTGCCTGTTGTGGACATTTTTGGTTATATTGGGAGACAATGTAAGGCTGTCTGGGTCAGTGTACATTGCTCATCTCCATCAACCTCCTCTACCATTTTTCACAATCGTAACCATTCTGCCAAGCCCATTAATGTTTCTGACCGTACTTTGCAAGGATGGTTCCTGGGGACATGATCCAAAGGCCACTTTGCAAGTCAATGGGCACCTGTAGCACATGGTGTACGTTTAATAAACTGTGAAAGAGTGTGATAAGCAGTGAGAAGGCTTTTCTCACCTTAGCAAAGTGAAAAGTCTAGAAAATGGTGTTTAATAACCCGTGATAAGTCGGGTAGGAACTGAAATATCTCACCTTCTCATCCTGTTGATAAGTACACAGAAAGTAATGGGAATGTACCTTTTTAATAAAGGGAGAAAAGTAGAGAACAGCTTTATCACTGGATAAGTATTGTGAAAAGTACCCTTGATTTAGCACCCTGTCAGACCTGGTGATAAAGGCCTTTTTCTCATGAAGCACTGAGCAAAGATACAGGAACTTGTCATAAACCTAGTTCCTTTAGGAACCTTCAGGAACAGTTAAAATAAAGCACAGATGCTCCTCTTCTGGATTTCTGCCATTTTGGGACATTTTTGCCAGTAGCAATGGTTGGCTGCCCAGGTAGGCTGAATGCTGATTTAGAGGTAAAAGGAGGGATTCCTGTCTTAATGCCACCCTTCCCTCATGAGAGGGGCAGTTTCAAGTCCCCTCACTGTATCTGTGTAGTGCAGACATCTCAACTCTCCCGGAAGCTCCGAGAGTCTCCCGCTATTAGATAGCGGCTCCCGGCCGCCCGGGAGAGAAACATTTTCTCCCGGAAAGGTTTAATCTGCTCTATCAAGCAGATTAAACCTTTCCCTGCGATCGTTTTTTTTTTCTTTTCTGACATCGAGAGCCGCGGCCCGACCGTCAGTCAGAAAAGAAAAAAAAA